TGGTAGGAGGCAGACAACCTGATGGTAGGAGGCAACAACCTGATGTAGGAGGCAACAACTGATGGTAGGGCAGAAACTGATGGTAGGAGACAACAACATGATGGTAGGAGTCAGACAACCTGATGGTAGGAGGCAGACAACCAGTGGTAGGAGGCAGACAACCTGATGGTAGGAGGCAGACAACCTGATGGTAGGAGCAGACAACCTGATGGTAGGAGGCAGACAACCTGTGGTAGGAGGCAGACAACCTGTGGTAGGAGCAGATACCTGGTGGTAGGAGTCAACACATGATGGAGGAGGCAGACAACCTGATGGTAGGAGATGTATGAGGTAGACATCGATTTATAGGCAGAAACCATGGTGGTAGGGAATAAATGAGGAGGAGGCAGACAACCTGATGGTAGTATTTAGATATACCATGAAAAGGATGTCTGCACCCGGAATTAAGGTTAGACAACAATAGAAGAGTGCTGCACTGATCGAGAGAAGGGTGTTCGTACAAATGATGAGAAGGCGCACTGATGTAGGAGGTCGACTAAACATGAAGGTGGAGGAAGAACTGGTTGTTCTGTCACTAGAACAACGAGGGTTGGTCGCAACTGATGAAGAAGGGGTTGTCACTAGAATCAAGAGAAGGTGTCTGCACTAGAATCAGAAGAGAGGGTGTCTGAAACTAGAATCGGAAGAGAGGTGTCTGTCACTGATCAGTAAGAGAAGGTTGGTCGTCTAGAATCAGAAGAGAAGTTATAGGTCACTAGAATCGAAAGTAGGGTTGTCTGTCAGGAGAATCAGAAGAGAAGGGTGGCTGTCACAGATCAGAAGAGAAGGTGGTCTGTCACTAGAATCAGAAGAAGTAGCAAGAGGATAGGATGTCACTAGAATCAGAGAGAATTGTAGTCACTAGAAATCAGAAGCAGATAGGGAGGATTGGTCTGTCACTAGAATCAGAAGAAAGGTTGGTCTGTCACTAGAATCAGAGAGAAGGGTTGGTCTGTCACTAGAATCAGAAGAGATAATTAGTATGTCACTAAATCAGAAGAAAGGGTTTGTCTGTCACTAGAATCAGAAGAGAAGGGTTGGTCTGTCACTAGAATCAGAAGAGAAGTTGTCTGTCACTAGAATCAGAAGAGAAGAATTTGTATGTCACTAGAATCAGAAGAGAGTAATTGTATGTCACTAGAATCAGAAGAGAAGGGTTGGTCTGTCACTAGAATCAGAAGAGAGATTGTTGTCACTAGAATCAGAAGAGAAGGGTTGGTCTGTCACTAGAATCAGAAGAGATATTGTATGTCACTAGAATCAGAAGAGAAGGTTTTGTCACTAGAATCAAAGAAGGGTTGGTCTGTCACTAGAATCAGAAGAGAAGGGTTGGTCTGTCACTAAATCAGAAGAGAAGATTAGTATGTCACTAGAATCAGAAGAGAAGGGTTGGTCTGTCACTAGAATCAGAAGAGAAGGGTTGGTCTGTCACTAGAATCAGAAGAGAAGGTTGTACTGTCACTAAATCAGAAGAGAGGGTTGGTCTGTCACTAGAATCAGAAGAGAATTTAGTATGTCACTAGAATCAGAAGAGAAGGTTGGTTTCTGTCACTAGAATCAGAAGAGAAGGGTTGGTCTGTCACTAGAATCAGAAGAGAAGTTGTATGTCACTAGAATCAGAAGAGAAGTGTTGGTCTGTCACTAGAATCAGAGAGATAAGTTGTTGTCACTAGAATCAGAAGAGAAGGGTTGGTCTGTCACTAGAATCAGAAGAGAATTAGTATGTCACTAGAATCAGAAGAGAAGGGTTGGTCTGTCACTAGAATCAGAAGAGAAGGGTTGGTCTGTCACTAGAATCAGAAGAGAAGAATTAGTATGTCACTAGAATCAGAAGAGAGGTTGGTCTGTCACTAGATCAGAAGAGAGGTTGGTCTGTCACTAGAATCAGAAGAGAAGAATTAGTATGTCACTAGAATCAGAAGAGAAGGGTTGGTCTGTCACTAGAATCAGAAGAGAAGAATTAGTATGTCACTAGAATCAGAAGAGAAGGTTGGTCTGTCACTAGAATCAGAAGAGAAGAATTAGTATGTCACAGAATCAGAAGAAGGGTTGGTCTGCCCACATAAAATCAGAATCAGAAGGTGGTCTGTCACTAGAATCAGAAGAGTATTGGTATGTCACTAGAATCAGAAGAGAAGGGTTGGTCTGTCACTAGAATCAGAAGAGAAGGGTTGGTCTGTCACTAGAATCAGAAGAGAAGATTAGTATGTCACTAGAATCAGAAGAGAAGGGTTGGTCTGTCACTAGAATCAGAAGAGAAGGGTTGGTCTGTCACTAGAATCAGAAGAGAAGAATTAGTATGTCACTAGAATCAGAAGAGAAGGGTTGGTCTGTCCTAGAATCAAAGAGAGAATTGTATGTCACTAGAATCAGAAGAGAAGGTTGGTCTGTCACTAGAATCAGAAGAGAAGAATTAGTATGTCACTAGAATCAGAAGAGAAGGGTTGGTCTGTCACTAGAATCAGAAGAGATTGGTCTGTCACTAGAATCAGAAGAGAAGGGTTGGTCTGTCACTAAACTCAGAAGAGAAGGGTTGGTCTGTCACTAGAATCAGAAGAGAAGGGTTGGTCTGTCACTAGAATCAGAAGAGAAGGGTTGGTCTGTCACTAAACTCAGAAGAGAAGGGTTGGTCTGTCACTAGAATCAGAAGAGAAGGGTTGGGCCTCCCGAGTGGCGCAGCGGTCTAAGGCACTGCATCGCAGTGTTGCGGCGTCACTACAGCCTGGGGTTCGATCCCAGGCTGTGTCATTACCGGCCGTGATCGGGAGTCCCATAGGGCAGTGCACAATTGGCCCAGCGTCGTCCAGATTAGGGGAGGGTTTGGCCAGGGGGGCTTTACTTGGCTCATCGCACTCTAGCGACTCCTTGTGGCGGGCCGGGCACCTGCAGGCTGACTTCGGTCGTCAGTTGAACGGTGTTTCCTCCGACACATTGGTGCAGCTGGTTTCCAGGTTAAGCAAGCAGGTGTTAAGATGTGCGGCTTGGCAGGTCATGTTTCGTAGGACGCCTGACTCGACTTTCGCCTCTCCCGAGTCCGTTGAGGAGTTGCAGCGATGAGACATGATTGGGGAGTAATCACAAAATTGGGGAGAAAAAGGGGTTAAAAATTACATACAAAAAAAAGAAGGAGGCGAGGGTTGGTCTATCACTAGCATCATTGAATGAGACGTGTACAGAAAATATGCCACGTTTTATTAAGTTTTGTCAATGTTTTATTGCCCAATCATGTGTTAAGATATCTTAAGTTATGGACCAAGATCATGAATAGGCCAAATCTGATTTTCTTTTTTATTTCCAATCTTTTTTTTCTGACTGTCCACACATAATTTTACATGTAACCCATATCAGATTGGCGCGTTCACTCTGATGTAGCATCTGAAGGAGCACACAAATGCAATGTTCATTTCCCATCTCTGTTGCTTTACTTTGTGGGGTGGTTGTCATGGTAACGACAGCTCATGCGCAATGAAACTACTTCAGAGCAAAAAAAATCAGATCTGAGTGTCCAGACAGAGGTCACATATGGAGGATCGAGTTGGTATCAGGATTCAGATCCACATACATAGGCTGAATTTACACAGGCAGCCCAATTCTGATCTTTTGCCAATTATTTGCATATCCTATACCTATCAGATATTTTCCCTATTGTGTAAACAGGAAAAAAAACACATTGAATCTGATCTTTTGACTTCCTATTTAGACCTGCGTTTACACAAGCAGCCCAATTCTGATCTTTTGCCCAATTATTGGCAAAAGATCTGATCTGATTAGTCAAAAGACCAATAATTGGGTAAAAGATCAGAATTGGGCTGTCTGTGTAAACTCAGCCATATGGAGGGGGTATAAATCGGAAGTCAAAAGATCAGATTCTGTGTTTTTTGTTGTTGTTGCTGTTTACACATTAGGGAAAAGATCTGATGGGTAACCGATATGCACATAATTGACAAAATATCTGAATTGGGCTGTCTGTGTAAACGCAGCCCAAATCTCCCAGTTTTATTCCTCTCCTCAGAATAAATGAAACCGGTGCATTTACTTCTAGTAGTTTAGACCACATGATATTATGGGCTTGATTCAATCTGTATCACCAAAGTTCAGCGCGATTGAGTTGCCCGTTCACAGAAACTGCATTCACAGTTAATTAAAGGCCCAGTGCAGTCAAAAACATGATTTTCCTGTGTTTTAAATACATTTCAACACTATGAGGTTGGAATAATACTGTGAAATTGTGAAAATGATGATAATGCCTTTTTAGTGTAAGAGCTGTTTGAAAAGACCGCCTGAAATTTCAGCCTGTTTTTGCGGAATGGAGTTTTGGCCAGCCTGGTGACATCACCAGGTGATAAATTAGTTAATAGACCAATAAGGAGAGTTCCAAACCTCTCTGCCAATAACTGCTACTTTTCAGTTTTCCCCTCCCCACTCAGACCACTCCCAGACAGACAGTCCTGGCAAAACTATTTATGTTTGCTAAGAAGCTTTTTTTTCCTTCTTTTTTTTAACAATCACAGTAAGGTACTTAATTGTTACACATAAATGATATGATACTGAGATAAAAAAAAATGGCCGCTTTGGACCTTTTAACCCTGGATATGTCTGCTCAATCAGAAATTACCGTTACATTTCAATTGCGCGAAAGTGCTGAACTTCGGCTACACGGATTGAATTGAGCCATAGGCTTGTGAAATTGCCTACACAGATGCCTAAGAAAGTCAATTGAGGTTGAGTAGTTAGATGCCTCAGCAGGAATTCTACTCAAACACTGCCATCTTGTGGACTCTCACTGTAACCATTTCCCCCTCTGTCTTCCTGACACATTGTTGGGGTCTGGGGGTGGTAAACATCAATAGTTTATCATGGAGTATTCCTTTCTTTTGTATTGTCTTATTTGACATGAAAGGTGATGGGGCTCTGTGATTGATTGCATTGTATTTTATTAGGATCCCCCATTAGCTGACGCCATGAAGCTGACGCTTAAAGAGTTGATCTCTAAACGGAATGAATATAGGGAGAACTGCACCCGGATTTTAGCAGAAAGCATCTTCTCAGGAACTGGTGAGCAGTTTGTTTTTGGCCTTGGCCACTTCTACAATTTATATTGTGATTGTATTGCAGCCAGACCGTCAGTGCTGCAATTAATCTGTATGGAAATTCATGTACTTTTCTGTTTGCCTCTTACTCTGTCCTTGTTTGTCCTTTCAGGATCCTACTGTAAAGGAACGGTTGATCTATTTGTGTGTTGGCCCCACTCAGCCCCTGGTAACGTGTCAGTGCCCTGTCCTTCCTACCTTCCCTGGATCACAGAGGGTGAGTCTCCAGGATTCATATCACACCTATCCATACACCGACGTTCCATATCCATTGTGTCATGTGATGGCACAACATGACATAATACCATTTCGTAATAGTGCCACGCCAAAGTAGAAGCACAGTTAAAGTAGAAGCACAGTTAAAGTAGAAGCACAGTTAATGTAGAAGCACAGTTAAAGTAGAAGCACAGTTCAATATGCCTTCCAACACGGTTGGCACGCAAGCACATCTCTCCATAACCAATCTATTGGGTCCTCTTCTCTTCCTGACCCAGATGACTCCAGGAGTGTGTACAGGCAGTGTCTGTCCAATGGCAGCTGGCGACTCCAGGATAATTCTACGGAAGCCTGGCGGGACCAGAGAGAATGCGTTGAGCCACATTACTTTAAAGCTGAGGTGAGGGAAAGGCTGTGAGAGGAAACAAAGAGGACAGTGGCCTTTGCGTTTTTGGAAAAGGCCCTTGTAACTGAAATGTCAACAATAAAATCATATCCCAGTTAAAAAAACAGAATGTCCCATTGAGGTCAAAGGTCACCTCTTTTCCTTTTGCTTTGTGTTATCCAGGAGGATGAGGTGTTTCGTCAAGGAGCCCTGAGGGTCATCTCCATCGTCGGCTACTCTCTGTCCCTCTCCTCCCTCTCTCTGGCCACTCTCCTCATGGGCATTCTCAGGTCAGCGTCAAGGGGTCAGCGTCAAGGGGTCAGCGTCAAGGGCTGAGAGGGTTAGGCGCATGTTGATGATGATTATGATGAATTCTACTTTGGTAGGGCGATGACACGATTGCAAATGAATGACATTCTCCTTAGTCATGGCATCGATTCAAACCCACTGGTCAGTTTTCAATGTCAGTATATAATATGTAACGGGTATCAGGGGGCGGTAGAATAACAAGATTACAAATGATGTTGTCGATAAACTATAAACTACATTACAACAACTACATTGGATCGCCTATGCACTCATCTTACTCGCATAATCACAAAATAAATGTCCGCGCTAAATAGTCAGCGGTTGGTTTGAGTGGGCGGCAGGTAGCTTAGTGGTTAAGAGCGTTGTGCCAGTAACCGAAAGGTCGCTGGTTCTAATCCCCGGGCTGACTAGGTGAAAAATCTGTCGATGTGCCCTTGAGCAAGGCGCTTAACCCTAATTGCTCCTGTAAGTCGCTCTGGATAAGAGCGTCTGCTAAAAATGACTAAGATGTAAGTCAATGCCGACCTCTGTCTCTTCCAGGAAGCTCCACTGTACGAGGAACTACATCCACATGAATCTGTTTGTGTCGTTCATGATGAGAGCCATATCCGTCTTCATAAAGGAGATTGTGCTACATGTCATGTACACCAATCTACCCAGCGACGACTCCGGGTGGAACTCATACTCCAGCTCAGTGGTATTCATCTCCTGTAGAGAACGTCATAAACATAATGGCCTTCAGAATACTTCTTTACTTATGATGTGAGAAATCAGGGGCGCCCAGAACCAAATCTCATGTGTGCTCTCACGTTAACATCTGTCACGAGAGACTATGATGTCAGATACATTTCTTCAGCAAGGATAATAAGGCAATGTAATGTACATATTTAATAAGGCAGTGTAATGTATATATTTAATAAGGCAGTGTAATTTATATATTTAAAAGGCAGTGTAATGTATATATTGAATAAGACAGTGTAATGTATATATTTAATAAGACAGTGTAATGTATATATGTAATAAGGCAGTGTAATGTATATATTGAATAAGGCAGTGTAATGTATATATGTAATAAGGCTGTGTAATGTATATATTGAATAAGACAGTGTAATGTATATATTAATAAGGCAGTGTAATGTATATATTTAATAAGGCAGTGTAATGTATATATTTAAAAAGGCAGTGTAATTTCTAATATTGAACAGTCTCTCCTCTTCCTGTAGATAGCGGTGGTATGTAAGGCCTCCCGGATGTCCATGGAGTATTTTGTAGCCTGTAACTACTTCTGGCTCCTGGTGGAAGCCATCTTCCTCCACACTCTCCTCTTCACTGCCGTCCTCACCAAGAGACGCCTGCTCAAAAGATACATGCTCATTGGCTGGGGTAAGGTTCTAATGTTCTAAGGTCCCCGTGTAGCTCAGATGGTAGAGCATGGCGCTTGCAACGCAAGGGTTGTGGGTTCGTTTCCCACGGGGGGGCCAGTATGAAAAATGTATGCACTCACTAACTGTAAGCCGCTCTGCTAAATGACTAAAATGTAAAAGATACATTCTGATTGGTTGGGGTAAGGCTCTAATGTTTCAAAGACATGTCATTGGCTAGGGTAAGGCTCTAACAAAATACTCTTTGTTCTTCCTAAAGGTACTCCATTCGTGTTTGTGGTGCCATGGACAATTACCAAAGTTTTATTTGAAAATGAAGGGTAAGTATTTTGGGAGCATTTCCACTCATTTCAAGACTTCTGATCAAATTTCTGGCTTTTCGCATTAAAGTAACCAATCGGTAGTGATATGTGTAATTACCCAATACGTCTATGGTATAAGCTGATACTGTAGGACTAAATCTGGTTTGGATATCTTCTGTCCTAAGGTGCTGGGCCAATAGGGATGGATGGATCTGGTGGATAATAAGAAGCCCCATCACTTTATCTGTGTTGGTGAGTAGCAACCTACCATGGCCATGCACGGACCTTGGAGAGGCAGGTGCACGAAGTGAAAAAAAGCCCCCCCCCAAAAAAAAATTAATTTAATTAATTAATTAATTTTCTTACATTCATAGTTAATTATCTAATGCTCTTGTAGCCAAATGTGTGTTTATATACAGTACCAGTCAAAAGTTTGGGCACACCTACTCATTCCAGGTTTTTTCTTTATTTTTACTATTTTCTACATTGTAGAATGATAGTGAAGACATCAAAACTATGACATAACACATATGGAATCACGTAGTAACCAAAAAAGTGTTAAACAAATCAAAAATATATTTTATATTTGAGATTCTTAAAATAACCACCCTTTGCCTTGATAAAAGCTTTGCACACTCTTGGCATTCTCTCAACCAGCTTCATCTGGAATGTTTTTCCAACTTGTCTTGAAGGAGTTCCCACATATGCTGAGCACTTGTTGGCTGCTTTTCCTTCACTCTGTAGTCCAACTCATACCAAACCATCTCAATTTGGTTGAGGTCGGGGGATTGTGGAGGCCAGGTCATCTGATGCAGCACTCCATCACTCTCCTTCTTGGTAAAATAGCCCTTACACAGTCCTGGAGGTGTGATGGGCCATTGTCCTGTTGAAAAACAAATGATAGTCCCAATAAGCCCAAACCAGATGGGATGGCGTATCGCTGCAGAATGCTGTGGTAGCCATGCTGGTTAAGTGTGCCTTGATTCTACATAAAAAGTCCTACAAAGCACCCCCACACCTCCTCCTCATCCTTCGTGGAAATACCCAAGACATTGTTCCATGTGTCCGCGGTTGAAAAAAATCTTCAATTACTCCAGACCAAGGATCGTTCTCAGTGTCTTTGTCCATGCTTGGTTTTGAAGCAGTCCTTTATTGTGTCCTTATAGAAGGGGCTTCTCAGCATAGACCCATCACCATATACCCCCATCCTCCTCTAAACGTTGGTGAAGATTCACGACGTGAAGATTTATTCGGGCTTCAATCCAGTGTCTCAAAATTACCCTGCGCGGGAACCCATCTTCAATTTTGGACTCCTCAAAACCAGGATTTCCACTTGGCTTGCAATGCTGGTTTTTGCGCCCAAGAAACTTTCTTATATTGGTGTGTCCTTTGTATGTGGCTTTCTTGCCAGATTTGACTTGAAAGGCCTGATCTTCACCACATTTCCACGAACATTGATGGTCAAATGCTTGTACTAAGAAATTCCACAAATTAACTTTTAAGAAGGCACACTTGTTAATTGAAATGCATTCCAGGTGACTACCTCATGAAGCTGGTTGAGGGAATGCCAAGAGTGTGCAAAGTTGTCATCAAGGCAAAATGTGTCTATTTGAAAAATCTCAAATATATAATATATTTTCATTTGCTTAACACTTTTTTGGTTACTACATGATTCCATATGTGTTATTTCATAGTTTTGATGTCTTCACTATTATTCTACAATGTAGAAAATAGTAAAAAGAAAGAAAAACCCTTGAATGAGTAGGTGTGTCCAAACTTTTGACTGGTAGTGAATATATATATATATATATATATATACACAGTGGGGGAAAAAAAGTATTTAGTCAGCCACCAATTGTGCAAGTTCTCCCACTTAAAAAGATGAGAGAGGCCTGTAATTTTCATCATAGGTACACGTCAACTATGACAGACAAAATGAGAATTTTTTTTCCAGAAAATCACATTGTAGGATTTTTTATGAATTTATTTGCAAAGTATGGTGGAAAATAAGTATTTGGTCAATAACAAAAGTTTCTCAATAATTTGTTATATACCCTTTGTTGGCAATGACACAGGTCAAACGTTTTCTGTAAGTCTTCACAAGGTTTTCACACACTGTTGCTGGTATTTTGGCCCATTCCTCCATGCAGATCTCCTCTAGAGCAGTGATGTTTTGGGGCTGTCGCTGGGCAACACGGACTTTCAACTCCCTCCAAAGATTTTCTATGGGGTTGAGATCTGGAGACTGGCTAGGCCACTCCAGGACCTTGAAATGCTTCTTACGAAGCCACTCCTTCGTTGCCCGGGCGGTGTGTTTGGGATCATTGTCATGCTGAAAGACCCAGCCACGTTTCATCTTCAATGCCCTTGCTGATGGAAGGAGGTTTTCACTCAAAATCTCACGTCCTGGTCCCTATGCAGAAAAACAGCCACAAAGCATGATGTTTCCACCCCCATGCTTCACAGTAGGTATGGTGTTCTTTGGATGCAACTCAGCATTCTTTGTCCTCCAAACACGACGAGTTGAGTTTTTACCAAAAAGTTCTATTTTGGTTTCATCTGACTATATGACATTCTCCCAATCCTCTTCTGGATCATCCAAATGCACTCTAGCAAACTTCAGACGGGCCTGGACATGTACTGGCTTAAGCAGGGGGACACATCTGGCACTGCAGGATTTGAGTCCCTGGCGGAGTAGTGTGTTACTGATGGTAGGCTTTGTTACTTTGGTCCCAGCTCTCTGCAGGTCATTCACTAGGTCCCCCCGTGTGGTTCTGGGATTTTTGCTCACCGTTCTTGTGATCATTTTGACCCCACGGGGTGAGATCTTGCGTGGAGCCCCAGATCGAGGGAGATTATCAGTGGTCTTGTATGTCTTCCATTTCCTAATAATTGCTCCCACAGTTGATTTCTTCAAACCAAGCTGCTTACCTATTGCAGATTCAGTCTTCCCAGCCTGGTGCAGCAGTCTACAATTTTGTTTCTGGTGTCCTTTGACAGCTCTTTGGTCTTGGCCATAGTGGAGTTTGGAGTGTGACTGTTTGAGGTTGTGGACAGGTGTCTTTTATACTGATAACAAGTTCAAACAGGTGCCATTAATACAGGTAACGAGTGGAGGACAGAGGAGCCTCTTAAAGAAGAAGTTACAGGTCTGTGAGAGCCAGAAATCTTGCTTGTTTGTAGGTGACCAAATACTTATTTTCCACCATAATTTGCAAATAAATTCATTAAAAATCCTACAATGTAATATTCTGGAAAAAATTTTTTCTCAATTTGTCTGTCATAGTTGACGTGTACCTATGATGAAAATTACAGGCCTCTCTCATCTTTTTAAGTGGGAGAACTTGCACAATTGGTGGTTGACTAAATACTTTTTTTCCCCCACTGTATGTATATAATAGTGTATTTACTGAGTATACAAAACATTAAGAACATCTGCTCTTTCCATGACATAGTCTGACCAGGTGAAAGCTATGATCCCTTATTGATGTCACTTGTTAAATCCACTTCAATCAGTTTAGAAGAAGGGGAGGAGACAGGTTAAAGAAGGACTTTTAAGCCTTGAGACAATTGAGACTGTGGGAAGCATTGGAGTCAACATGGGCCAGCATCCATGTGGAACGCTTTCGACACCTTGTAGAGTCCATGCCCCTACGAATTGAGGCTGTTCTGAGCGCAACTCTATATTAGGAAGGTGTTCCTAATGTTTGGTATATTCAGTGTATTTATTATTATTCATTATGATTATTAACATATATATTTTTTAGCATAGGCCTTTATTTTTATGCAAAATCCTACTGTAAGCAAGCTTTTATAGCCTACTGCTCAAAGAGAGGTCAAAGAGGGGTGGGCTATCAGCTGATGATAAAGACTGTAGATTATGTAAATCTGATTGTTTCAACAGGATAGCTAACTAACTAGTCTTCACCTGTGTTGGAGTTTATTCTGCTGCTGACATCTGCCTCTTAGGCCTACTAACATAGTCAAATTGAATCCTTCCCTGTTTCTGATTGTGAGATGACCCATGCAACTCTTAAGGAAGCCACTTCGACTGTTTCGCCCAAGTAGCTTCTGCCTCCAGGACGAGTGTGGTGTACGGGCAGAGGAGCAGGGGAGGGGGAATTTTCTAAGAAAAAAAAAAAAGAAGAGAAATTAGTTTGCTGGGTTCATTTAAAAGGTCAAGAGAGGATATAGAAGGTACTTTTCTCATAGGAGGGCAAAAGGGCTAAGACCTCGAACACAACAGCCTGCAACCTACGCTATTTAACCTATAGCAACCTCTCTGCAGCCCCTGCATCACCACTCAACTAAGGGCCCGATTCAATCAGATCCACTTTAGCCGACATCCGCATAGCGGTTGTTATGACGGTGTCGGAGGCGGAACTACAGTATGTTAGAGTTGTCCAATCCACAATCGGCTCCCGGCATTATACCTAAAGCGGACATTGGCATTGGCTGCCCGGAGTCGCATTAAGAGAAATCCCATGCAGCCTTGTTTACACGTTGGAACACTGGAATGTGAGATGTAATCTACACTTTGATTAGGATGATAGAAATCCTCATTATTTCTATATAGCCTGCACTTTCTCGTTCTAAATTTCTAACGCGAGTGGGACGGGTGTGACTTAGTGACAATGATCAAGAACAACTGCTCACCGATTTGACAACTACAATGCAGTTACACCTCCGGTTAACGCTTGATCTGATTGGCTTAAGACTGATATCTAAGAACGTGACACGATTATAAATCCTCTATCAAACCCTATAGACCGAGAGTATGTCAGAGTGCACAGACTAACACACTGGGGGCATCAGCTCTCGTGAGCGTTCCAGTGATTTCTCAGTGATTTCACACTGATTTTGGGATGTCCGTAAGATCAGTACTTGAGACCACGTGACATAGATGTCAGCCAGAGCAGTGGTTGTCATATGCAGTCAGAAGTATATCTATAGGGCAGAATGGTTAGGGTGCACTGCAGCCAATAAGATGGGGGTTTTTGCTTTTAAAAGACACAGTTTTGACACACCAGACAAAAAAAACCTAGACATCTCTTACTGTTTTACAGAAAAACCTTTTGATTGATTTTGTGTTGCAGATCATTTTCTACATTTTCATCAAAATACTACTGTTGCTGCTCTCAAAGTTAAAGGCAGACCAAGTGAGATTTACAGACTACAGATACAGGTACTGTTGCTCAAAAGGGTTACTCTGATCTGTTACAGGAGTAAACCCCAGTGCTGTCTGAATGCCATAACGCCTCTCCTTTCCTCTAAGCTTGGCCAGGGCTACGCTAGTCCTGATCCCTTTACTGGGAATCCACGAGGTGGTTTTCACGTTCCTGGTGGACGAGTGCGTGGACGGAAGCAGCCGCTACGCCAGGAACTTCATTAACCTCACCCTCAGCTCCTTCCAGGTAACAGTGGCCGCGTGTCACAACAGGAACATAACAATGTTTTATTATGTTTCGGTTGATTTATGTTCCTGTTGAGAAAATAAAATAACCCCCCCCCCCCCCCCCCCCCGATCCCATTGAGAACTACATTTAGCGGGAGAAATTAGTCCTGATAAAAATGCAATGGAAAATGAGCCGGTAGAGTAATGCCAATGTTTATCATCCTGAATACAATCATTATCATACCTCTCTCTCAGGGATTCTTGGTTTCTGTGCTGTACTGCTTCTCCAATGGAGAGGTAACTATCCACAAACTAGCAGTTACATGTACTGTAGTCTAAATGTTAGCCTAACAAATCATAATGGGAAATAATCAATTTAAAAAACACTAACATAAATCTGTTATCTCCAGTTCCAGGCGGAGTTGAAGAAGCACTGGCAGCAATTCCTGTTCACCAACCATTTCCAGGTCACGCCCTGTATTGACTTCCGGGGCGCGCCCATCAAACACCTGTGGAAGTGCTCCAGAGGCCAACGCCCCCACGGCTCCCAGCAGAGCGAATCATATGAGAAGGGGGGTGGGCATGCCACACACTCACACCTGCTGCAGGTGGCCTGGCAAGGGGAAGGAGGAGGAGGGGTAGAAGGAGGGGAGGTGGCAGGGGGGATAGGGAGGGGGAGAGAAATGGGAGGATTGGAGTTCCACACCAGGAAGAGTCTGTCAAGTAGTGATGGAGAGATGACGCTGGGAGAGACCGTGGAGGAGATAGTGGCGGAGAGTGAATTCTGACCTCCATCTTGTGGACCCTCCCTGTCTCTCCAGACTGTTATGAACTGTTACGGTGCCTTGTTTCCTTACAGATGGAGTCATGTCTATATGATACAAGTCCTTTGACAGACAACATTCACATCTGGTGTATAACAATGATGTTGTATCTTTGTACAGATTCTTTGTATGGTACCTTTGTGTATCATTGTTTATGTGAGTAGTGTTCCACGATTTTAACGGTAAATCATAGAACATATATTTATGTACATTTCATCAGAAAAACAATAAAATGACTCAAATGAAACTTTATCACATAAAGGTACTAACTGCAGGTATATAAACACAATTTAATAACTCAAAACAGTAGAGCTTTGACAGGTAAGTCTAAATTATTTGTTGTCAGAAAATGTTGGTATTGAACATACTAATATTGGTATTTTGCAAAGTACAGTGTGAAGGATACGTGTTACAGTAATGTGCATGAGGTGGGTATTATTGTGTATTTGTCATATCTAAAATGTATCCTTAAAGGAATATATACATTAAAGGAATTTTGTATTACCTTTTGTGTTTGAAACAAATCTCTGCTACTGATGACTAAATAATAAAAAAGTACATATGGTAATGACACAAAAGATACCACATGGACATGCTGCTCCGATGACACACTTGAAAAAGTACTATGTTACAAACATAACAACAAAAACTGCAAGCATCAGGTCTCTCTTGATGTGAATATTGTGTCCCCAGTGAGACTAACCTGGACACATAAAGTTGAAGTGAAAAAAAAAAAGACTGCTAATGTTTCATCTCCTTCAGTCTCTCCTGGACCTTCTGTGGCTCGTCAAACTGGACCAGTCTGAGGAGGTTCTTGTTGTCCATCACTCCCTGGATAAACTCCTCCTCTGTTAGCTTATCTGAAAGATAAAAAGCATGAGCTGGCGCACACCCAGAGAACATTATTTAGTGTAGAGGTGCTGACTGACGGGGAATAAACTATAAGCGGTAAAAACAAAGAGAGTCGCCATACACACTCCATATGTATAACCTCCCAGTCATTTATTGGGTAAAAAAAAACCCACCAACGTTTCGGCATCACTGTGCCTATCTGAAATAACAACAGATGCAATAATAGATACGCTTCCCACGCTCGATACGCATAAGGTAGAAAAAAATGAACAAACCAAAAAACAGCAACAATACGTCAAAATACAATATACAATATATTATGTATGATTCTCTTGAACTATTCTTTGAGTGGTTCTTAAACATGAAAACAAGGCTTACCATTTTCTTTCTTGCCGAAGAAGTCCCAGATTTTATCAGCTCTCTTCTCTGGTGTGTTCTCATCATCAGGAAGATACTTCTGGTCCTCTTTGGAGATCATGTTGAATATCGACTATAAACAGAAAGTTTGTTTCATCATTATAGAGATTTGAGCAGCACGCAGAACATGATGCTAGCACATCTCTTACACCTATTTCATTACATCTATTTCACAATGACTCTACAACTCACCTTGACGATCTCTTGGATCTCCTTCTTGGTTATTCTTCCGCTGTGGTCGACGTCGTACAGGTTGAACGCCCACTCCAGCTTCTGTATGGTCTTCCCAGAGGAGGTCAAGTGCAGGGCCATTATGTACTCCTTAAAGTCCAGCGTCCCATCACTGCAGGGTTCAATATAATTCAATTACGCTGTTTCTATATCCCACAAGTGCTAATTATGCAGAGCAGTGCAAATCAGCAGGCACGTTGTAATGTTCCTATACAGTAATCCATCCATCACCTGTTGGAGTCGAAGCTCCTGAAGACGTGGTGTGCGTAGGCCTTGGGGTCTGCGTCGGGGAAGAATTTGGCATAGATGGCCTCAAACTGCTGCTTGCTGATTCGCCCGCTGGGACACTCTCTCAGGAAGTTCTGGTACCTATAGAGGATAAAAGAAAGAAATATAAGACAGTAGCTACATCTCAAATGACACCCTTTTCTCCATAAAGTGTATTTATTTTGACCAGAATTGTAAGTTCAAGGTACCCGGTACATAGCTGCTCCTCGCTGTACTTGGTGTTCAGTTTCAGGTCGTCTAGGAGACCCTTGGACAGGGAGCCACTTTTGCTGTTGCCCATCTCTCCTCTGTTTCGGGCTCGTTGTCCTCTATTTTTCTTTCTACTTCTTCCCTCTCTTTCTGTCTGTTGCTCTTTCTATTGCTCTATCCCTCCTTTGTTCTCTCTCAGATTTCTTTCTCTTCCACAGTCTCTCGGTTTCTCTGCGCTCTCGTGTGAGGGAACCTGCTCAATCCTAGCCTGATGCCGCTGTTATGCCCTAAGGTGTAAGGTCTGACCAGAAACAAACACTGGCCCTCCTGTTCTCTGCTATTTAAACCAAGATAGATTGGTATTGGTCTTGACTGGGTGTAGGGGAGATTATAATATACACAGCTGGTGATTGTCAGTGCACCCAATTTACACCTCCATTGAAATGGACAGGGTTTAAACAGCAGGGAACCTCATGGTCTAATACCGTCTGATTAGATTGGTATCAGTGTGTTACCTAACTGTTTTACACTGATACTCAGTGATAGGCAAAAAACAACTATGAACATGAGACGTCACTAACACATGCTGTGATTATTCATAAGTATGACATTGTAATTAGTCATTTACTGAGGTAAAAACAAAATATTATATACAGTACCAGTCAAAAGTTTGGGCACACCTACTCATTCAAGGGTTTTTCTTAATTTTGACTATTTTCTACATTGTAGAATAATAGTGAAGACATCAAAACTATGAAATAACACATATGGAATCATGTAGTAACCAAAAAAGTGTTAAACAAATCAAAATATATTATATATTACATTCTTCAAAGTAGCCACCCTTTGCCTTGATGACAGCTTTGCACACTCTTGGCATTCTCTTAACCAGCTTCATGAGGAATGCTTTTCCAACAGTCTTGAAGGAGTTCCCACATATGCTGAGCACTTGTTGGCTGCTTTTTCTTCACTCTGAGGTCCAACTCATCCCAAAACATCTCAATTGGGTTGAGGTCGGGTGATTGTGGAGGCCAGGTCATCTGATGCAGCACTTCATCACTCTCCTTGGTCAAATAGCCCTTAAACAGCCTGGAGGTGTGTTTTGGATCATTGTCCTGTTGAAAAACAAATGATAGACCCACTAAGCCCATACCAGATGGGATGGCGTATCGCTGCAGAATGCTGTGGTAGCCATGCTCGTTGGGTGTGCCTTGAATTATAAATAAATCACTGACAGTGTCACCAGCAAAGCACCCCCACACCATGACACCTCCTCCTCCATGCTTCACGGTGGGAACCACACATGCAGAGATCATCCGTTCACCCACACTGCGTCTCACAAAGACACAGCGGTTGGAAGCAAAAATCTCAAATTTGGACTCATCAGACCAAAGGACAAATTTCCACCTGTCTAATGTCCATTGCTTGTGTTTCTTGGCCCAAGCAAGTCTCTTCTTCTTATTGGTGTCCTTTAGTAGTGGTTTCTTTGCAGCAAATCGACCAAGAAGGTCTAATTCCCGCAGTCTCTTCTGAACAGTTGATGTTGATTGGCACAACTGATTGGCTCAAACGCTTTAAGAAGGAAATAAATTCCACAAATTAACTTTTAACAAGGCACACCTGTTCATTGAAATGCATTACAGGTGACTACCTCATGAAGCTGGTTGAGAGAATGTCAAGAGTGTGCAAAGATGTAATCAAGGCAAAGGGTGGCTACTTTGAAGAAACTCAAACATAACATATATTTAGATTTGCTTAACACTTTATTGGTTACTACATGATTCCATATGTGTTATTTCATAGTTCTGATGTCTTCACTATTATTCTACAATGTAGAAAATAGTAAAAATAAAGAAAAACGCTTGAATGAGTAGGTGTGCCCAAACTTTGGACTGGTACTGCATATACAGCTGCGGAAAAAAATAAGAGACATTTACATTTACGTCATTTAGCAGACGCTCTTATCCAGAGCGACTTACAAATAGAGACCCTGCAAAATTATCAGTTTCTCTGGTTTTACTATTTATAGGTATGTTTTTTTCGGTAAAAATTAAAATTGTGTTTTTTCTATAAACTACTGACAACATTTCTCCCAAATTCCAAATAAAAATATTGTCATTTAGAGCATTTATTTGCAGAAAATGACAACTGATCAAAATAACAAAAAAGATGCAGTGTTGTCAGACCTCAAATAATGCAAAGAAAATAAGTTCATGTTCATTTTTAAACAACACAATACTAATGTTTTAACTAAGGAAGAGTTCAGAAATCAATATTTGGTGGAATAACCCTGATTTTCAATCACAGATTTCATGTGTCTTGGCATGCTCTCCACCAGTCTTTCAAATTGATGTTGGGTGACTTTATGCCAGTCCTTGCGAAAAATTCAAGCAGCTCGGCTTTGTTTGATGGCTTGTGACCATCCATCTTCCTCTTGATCACTTTCCACGTTTTCAATGGGGTTCAGGTCAGGAGATTGGGCTGGCCATGACAGGGTCTTTATCTGGTGGTCCTCCATCCACACCTTGATTGTCCTGGCTGTGTGGCATGGCACATTGTGCTGCTGGAAAAACCAATCCTCAGAGTTAGGGAACAATGTCAGAGCAAAAGGAAGCAAGTTTTCTTCCAGGACAACCTTGTACGTGGCTTGATTCATCCGTCCTTCACAAAGACAAATCTTCCCGATTCCAGCCTTGCTGAAGCACCCCCAGATCATCACCGATCCTCCACCAAATTTCACAGTGGGTGCGAGACACTGTGGCTTGTAAGCCTCTCCAGCTCTCCGTCTAACCATTAGACGACCAGGTGTTGGGGAAAGCTGAAAATTGGACTCATCAGAGAAGATGACCTTACTCCAGTCCTCTACGGTCCAATTCTTATGGTCTTTCGCAAACCTCAGCCTGGCTCTTCTTTGCTTCTCATTGATGAATGGCTTATTTCTAGCTTTGCACGACTTCAGCCCTGCCCCTAGGAGCCTGTTTCGAACCGTCCTCACCGTGCACTTCACCCCAGCTGCCGTTTGACATTCTTTTTGTAGGTCATTTGATGTCATCCTACGGTTGTTGAGTGACATTCGAATGAGTTGGCAGTCATCCCGCTCAGTAGAGAGTCGTTTTCGCCCTCTGCCGGTCTGTAGCTTTGTTGTCCCCAATGTCTCCTGCTTGACCTTGTTCTTATGAACCGCCGTCTTTGACATTTTAAGAATGGAAGCAACCTGACGCTCACTGTATCCCTCTGCCAGTAAAGCCAGAATTGAACCCTTCTTTTCCTCACTCAAAACTTTCCTTTTGGCATGGTCAATAGTTATTTTTTGATTTAAATTACTTTTGAGGTACTATTAGCACTGTTTTTGCCATCCAGCTGGTCCTATTGCAAGAGGATAGTGATGACCACAACAGTGGTTTTTATAATTTTCCTCGTTAAATAAGATTTGGTTCAGGTGATCACCTAATCAGTACCTAATTCAGTAGAATGAGGTGTGCCTGTGTTGGAATTCAACAGACACTGGAATGGAATGGCTGTCATACATGTAGAGATGCTGATTTAAGAAAAATGTGCAGTGGTCTCTTAATTTTTTCCAGAGCTGTATATGTATATACTGAAAAAATTATAAACGCAACATGCAACAATTTCAAAGATTTTAATGAGTTACAGCTCATATAAGGAAATCAGTCAATTGAAATAAATAAATTAGGCCCTAATCTATTGATTTCACATGACTGGGAATACAGATATGCGTCTGTTGGTCACAGATACCTTAAAATAAAAGTAGGGGTGTGGATCAGAAAACCATTCAGAATCTGGTTTGACCATCATTTGCCTCATGCAGCGCGACACATCTCCTTCGCATAGAGTTGATCAGGCTGTTGATTGTGGCCTGTGGAATTTTGTCCTACTCCACTTCAATGGCTGTGCAAAGTTGCTGGCAATTGGCTGGAAATGGAACACACTGTTGTACACGTCAATCCAGAGCATCCCATACATGCTCAATGGGTGACATGTCTGGTGAGTATGCAGGCCATGGAAGAACTGGGACATTTCAGATCTTTGCGACATGGGGCCGTGCATTATCATGCTGAAACGTGAGGTGATGGTGTCAGATGAATGACATGACAATGGGCCTCAGGATCTCGTCACGGTATCTCTGTGCATTCAAATTGCCATCGATAAAATGCAATTGTGTTTGTTGTCCGTAGCTTATGCCTGCCCATACCAAAACCCCACCGCCACCATGGAGCACTCTATTCAAATTTTTTACATTTACATTTTAGTCATTTAGCAGACGCTCTTATCCAGAGCGACTTATAGTTAGTGAGTGCAAACATTTTCATACTGGATATCAGCGAACAGCTCACCCACACGATGCCACAAGGTGCACCTGTGTAATGATCATGCTGTTTAATCAGCTTCTTGATATGCCACATCTGTCAGGTGGATGGATTATCTTGGCAAAGGAGAAATGCTCACTAACAGGGATGTAAAGGAATGTGTGCCCAAAATTTACGAGAAATAAGCTTTTTGTGAGTATGGAACATTTCTGGGATCTTTTATTTCAGCTCATGAAACATGGGACCAAAACTTTACATGTTGCGTTTATATTTTTGTTCAGTGTATACAGTATGTCATGGTATTTGTGCATCATTTACCTTGAAAATGTCCTCCCTTGATCGAAGCCGGCTTTCATTTCTTCCTTATTATATGCTTAGAGGAAGGAGAACGAATAGGCCTAGATGTTGAAGAAGTATTGTCGGTATTGCAGATACCCTCCTGATTCTGGAGTGTTCAAAAATACAAATTATTCCAATAGACTTCTAGAGTTTATTAGTAGTAGAGGGAGAATGAAAATGTCTGTAGCGTCCGAACTAATGTGATCTCACTGTAGAAAGGGGAGACTCTCACGAACATGATGGTGGTCTCCGTTTTGCTCTACAACCCCCACAAGTGTCACGGGACACGTCTGAATGTAACCGGTACCGATAAACAAATGAATGGAAGTATGGAGGTAGTTTAGTGCCAAAAAAGGGGATAAATATGCGTCCAAAATAAACACAAATATTTCCTTAGCTTTCTTGTATCTCCTCGATATAGGAAAGACAACTTATTTGTTGACTGTCTGTTTTGCCATTTATGAATGTGTTATTCAATGCATCTCTATGGGCTTTAGTAGTAAAGGATAAATTCTATATTTTATCAAATCATTTTAAAAATATATTGTTTGTATACCTAAAGGGGTCCTAAAGTAAAAAATCTAATAGCTAAATTATCCATAGTATGACCCTCTTAAAACAATTCCATATGTTAGCTTAGTAGAAGTAAATTGAATAGATAATTTATACAC